GCTACTTTCTTGCATGGCAGCATTTTATCCACTTCATCTATTTGCTGCTTATGACCAAAAGAAGTTAGTTAGGCTTGCTATAAAGTTTTATGCTTCTAATTTTACAAGGGATGAATTGGCAAGACTTTCATGGCAACTAAACATGTATGTTACTAATGTGCGTAGAGACGAAAGGTTTCAAAACCTGAAAAATCTATATCAGCTTTCAGTTATGCTTGTTGAGACAAACAAACATGAACAATATCATATTATTTACAAGCTTCTTAAGTTGGTATTGATTCTGCCAGTAGCTACTGCTAGTGTTGAAAGGGTATTCTCTTCAATGAGCTATGTGAAGAATAAGCTAAGGAATAAAATGGGTGATGATTATTTGAACAATTGTTTGGTTACATTCGTTGAGAGAGAATATTTCAATCAAGTGAAGGATGAAGAAGTCATCAATCTGTTCCAAAAAGGCGATCGCGTGTCTTGCTAACGACACTTTTTGTCTGAATGACATACTACATCTTGACAGCATAGAATTAGATGATCATTTTCCTCCCTTTTAAAGCTTGCTTATCCTCGCTAATCAATGGATTTAAATTACAGGAAAAAGACGTATGCCGTTCTGAACAACAAACATGTACCGCATGCATCATCACAAGTTGAGTACTGGTGCTGATGTCCGGCAAGCAAGTAAGCAAGCAGAGAGACCATAGAGACGGAGGAAAACAGAGGCGACACCGCGGCTGAACAGTTTAAACCAAAAAAAAAAATCAAACCATGCAGGAGGAATTCATACGTATATACGGAGTAGATAGGAGAAGAAGGGGCCCGGCAAACACCCCATGCAAAGTTCAGAGACGACCAAAACAAGCACCCCAATATATCCCGAAAGGGAAAAAGTGTAGGTAGTGATACAACCAGGAAACACTGAGACCAAGTAGCTAGGTTTGATGTGCCGAGCAGAGTCTCGGACAAACTCGCGCTCTGAACAGCTCGAAATCGAAAATAGAGCACCGTATCAAAGTCACAACCACGGCTTATCCACTAGGAGAGAAGTCTCCTGATGGCGTATTCAGTCTTCAAGCAGGGTGGACTCCAGTTGGAAGTCCTGAATGGCCTCTCCTCGCGCTGTCCCTTCTGCAGACCAGCCGTGTTTCGTCACAAGACAACACAGGAAGAGTAACAAACAGTCTAAAATGCTCATATGCGCCAAAAAATGAGTGTAACTAACTCATATACACCAAATAGATCCCAATATATAATAATTATACAACAAGAGATTCGAGCGATATTTATCTTTGCCTTGAATGGCCATACCTTGTAGTACATGGAAAGCCATCGGTGATGGGTCGTTTCCCCATTGTTGGATAAAAAGAGACGACTCATCTTGGACAGTGTCCTCCGTCTCATTCAGCATATGGACAATATCATCTACCGTGGGCCTCTCATACTGGTCATACTTGACACACTTTCGAGCTATTTCAACGCACATTTTCTCTTGTGAGCAGCCCACCTCTAGTGATTTCTGCCACTACAAAGTTCAAACATACAGTAAACATATCAACATCCATATGATGAATGAAGTGAGAGTACTTATAGAGTAATAGTCAATACACATCATTTCCAGACATTTCTTTCGCCAAAGTCAAAACTGACAACTAGTTAGTTTTGGTCACAGTAAGTCACCTCACGCCGTGTAAATGTAAATATCTAATTATTGTTATTTTGTGTCTCCATATAACAACAAACTAAGAAACTTTTGTCTTCCTTGATACAATTAGACTGCATGCACACTGATTGTCGTCAGGTCACAACAATTAGCTTTGACAACTAGTTGTTGCTACAGCTAGACCACATAACACATTGATACAAGACATGCTATTTTTAACAAAGAACAAACTACTATGTAACATTTTTTTTTTCAAATCCCCCTATTTTATGTCACTAAATTGTAGTATAGAATAGTAAAATTTTCCATAATTAAACAATATCGTCCGATATGGTTATGTAGGTTCTGCTTACATTGTCGGAGTCATCGTCGTTATTCCTCGTTAATAGTTTAATGAGTATATTACCCAGACCATATATGTCTGCCTTGAATGACATTTCCCCATTGTTTATGATTTCTGGTGCCATCCATCCCCTGCGTGACAATATAATAATCAACTTGAGTAAATATGACATAAAGAAGATTTTACTTACTTGACATCGAGAAGAAAAAAACACTCAAAGTGGCTTAGCTTACAGTGTTCCACGGATGATTTTAGTAAACTGTCTGGATTGCCCGTCATCGAAGAATCTTGACAAACCAAAGTCAGTGATTTTTGGCTCCATCTGAGCATCCAAAAGAATATTCTCAGTCTTCAGATCCAAATGATTAATGCGCTGATTATGAAGATACTGTAAACCAAGACAAATCCCCTTAATCAATTGGTAACGTATTTGCCAGTTGTCTCCATGAGATTTCTCTGCAAAGGTGATAAAAGAGCATTTGTATTTTAGAACCTGCTTGCCTTCCATATAATTTTTATTTGCAAGATAGCCTTTGAGGAAAGAGATGTGAGACAACGGAGTGGTCGAAGACAGATCTTTAGGTTGTATATTGCAATAACTGACAACTTTGATTGGTACATCCAATTTTTTTATCTATCCCTAAGAATTAGCTTGTAAACAAAACACATAAATTTAGGTACACTTCCCAATCTACAAGTGACATTCCGAAGAGATACTAACAACATGTAACCAACAATACATGCGAATTTCACAACATATTGCTACAATCTGATTTATTTATTTTTAAATACTTACTACGCTAGATGGTTTGGCAAATGTTACTCTCCCATGAGGAACTATTTTGTGTTGTACAGAAAGAAGGGGCAGTAACTGTGAGCTACATTTAATTTTGAGATTGATTATAGATATTGTTCATTTTTTAAGGCATGATCTAAAGTTGGATCCTGCTCCAAAATTAAGCAATACATACATGATTGGAAACACCTAAGGTAATGATTTTGAAACTGTAAAGCTAGTATTGATTATACAATAAATACAGATGGGGATATTAATGTTCGTGAAGCTTTGCACCTTTAATATAATATTGAAGGTTCCCATTAGGAGCATACTCAAAGCAGAGCAACCTCTGTGGCACCTCTGCTATCACATTTCTTCCATTGAATTCCAACAGTTCACCGTGTGAATCTGCACAATAGCCTAGATATCTGACTATATTATTATGCTTTGCCTTTTTCAAACATTTGATCTCGTCAAGAAATTGCTCATCAGAAAATTCCTGCAGTATGGAAAGCTTCTTCACAGCGACTTTGCCATTTGGAAGATATCCCTGTTTTACATAGCATCAGGATTGGCATTAACATTTTACTCCAAGCAAATATATACTGTACAAATTTATCATTTATGGGGCCATCAAGAACAAATCATACCAAGTAAACAACTCCATACCCACCACGGCCAATCACTTGAGAGAAATTTCTTGTAATGGATTTGATAAGTGAATATGATAGCCTTGTGGGCTCTACACTCGCATCACTCAACATGCTCTCAAGGACAGCCAGTTCACTTGCATGATCAGCCATTTCTAAAATAGAAAAAACCTCTCAAATAACTCAAGTACACATTAATATAGTTTCTCAGTGTAAACTTGTACGACATGATGTTCGTAAACAAGAAATTTCTATTAAAATTCAAAATGAACTGTTTCAACACCTTGAATCATGAATTTTTAATGCCACATGTGGCTTATAATGACCATATATAATAAGTTCGATCAAATGTAATTTAGAAGTTTCCTTGAAAAAGGTTTCTGCGGTATTGTAGCAACCCACTCCTGTTTTACATTCCAGCCCAAGTGCCCAGCTATAAATTATCCCTAAGAAAACTGGCACTCATGCCAAGCACCTTGTTCATGTGGAATTTTGAGCAAGCATTTAGTATTCCACCAACCCGATGAATTAGAATATCTGCAAAAAATAATATTGGTGTTTACTGTGTATGTGCATGCTAACTAGTACTCCATACCATTTA